TGTAGATTGGCTCCTATGTGGATACTTTGATACTCCTGGATATTCTTGATGTTATATTGATCTTGGTGACTAGTGAAGGAATCCAGGACAAGCGTTATGTCCTATCTGGGACTCGTCAGCTGGATATACCTGCACCTCCAGCAATTGATGCTGTTCCTAATGAGGCTCGAACCAGTACCCGTCGCTTCACAGACCAAGCTTTATCTACTAAGCCATTGGGGGCATGTTAGCCATATCTTGTGCAACGGGTGTTAGTCCTTGTAATGATACTTGTAATTCCCCGTTGCTATATAAGACCGAGTCCTAAGTCCGAGTCCGAAATAGGACGAAACACGCATCGTGGACTCCTACTAATCACCAAGACCAATGTCCTTGAATATATTTGAGTCTTTTCATTTACCTAACACTGCAAGAAAGTTATTGTGTTGTATTATATACTTCTAGAAGTGAGGGATTCGAATTTAGGCAGTTCGTCGTAACATTACAGTCGAGATAGTGGTCTCTAAAACTTTATTATACTATTGTCATGTGTTGTTACCTGGAATTTTCCGTTGTTACATTGAAACGGATTGATCAACATCTGTTGGGAGATGGGTTCCTACGTTGTTGCTTCAATAATGTTGTATTCATCTTGATGACTATCATTGGAATCCATGAAGAGCCTTTTGTCTTATTTAGGACTCATCAGCTGTAGGTACCTACACCCCAGTAAGTGATCTTGTTCCCACTGAGACTCAAATCTCATTTCCATCGTTACAAACGCCAAAGAGTTACCCCACTAGACTAGTGAGGAAGTAGAACTACCTCTTGCACAACAGTTATCAGATGTTGGTGTTTGTAGCGATGGGTATAAGTTTAAAGCCTCATTTGGATGTATGTAGGTACATCCAGCTGACGAGTTTAAAATAAGATGAGATGCGCAATTTAGATCCCAGTGCTAGCCACAAACAAGTCAATTTATCATATTAGTTTGAATTTAATTTAATTTCAATTTTTATGTATATTTGGATTATGAGGAAACTATTCCTTCGTAAAATCTGATTATATTTTTACATCTCTGACTTTATATGTAAACATTTATTCAGAACACTTTATGACTGATTTTAAAAGAAGTATGTGGATAAGCACAGTAGCCACTTGATCTAATATAATTTGTGATTTGTTGCCTTCAGTGTTCGATACCCTTTTTATGAAACTTAAGGTAACCAATTAGCTTATAAGATACATATGGTCTCTATTAGCCAGTAAAGAGATCTATCTATAAGGTTATAAAGTTTCTTGTCTATCAAATTTTGTTTTATATCATCGTGCATAAAACAATATTTACCTTCTTTGTTTTTATTGCATAGACATTTTTGTTTTTGTAAATATTTATTGTTTAATTGTATCACATGCTTATTAATAAACAAAGCAAGAATGAAATTGTTATAGATCTTAGATGAAACTGTTCAATGTTAAAGTGTCTGTAGGTCATTTGGACACACATCATTTGGATACCAAAAGAAAACAGTTTATACTTTAGATACTTGAATATATATATATATATATATATATATATATATATATATATATATATCACTTTTGAAGTTAGTTAATTACACCATTATGTCTGAATTTGTTCAAGTTGTCATCGAATTTGAACAAAACTTTAACTCTTAGACTTTCGTATGATTACTAGTGAAAAGTAAACGCGGGAAAGAATCTATATTGCAGTTTTTTTTGTCGCTCATTCTACTAGCAGTATTCCTTACTCAGTTGTACACCCATCAGGGAGCGTAACATTTATGTGGTTGTTTGATGAAGATCACTGGTTTATTTGTCAGTTAGTTATAATATTTTCACGGGATTAGTACTCAGACGATATGATACTGTTAAGCGAAACGTAAGCAAAGTGCTGAGTTATCTGATTGCCTTGAACAGTAAGTATATTTTGCGTGCATTTTGCACCACTCAGGTGCTTCAAGAGTGGTCTGCGCCGACTTTTAATTTAAGGATAGGAAGTGAAATAGTAGAATACGTTGACAATTTCATTTATTTGAGGAGTTGAATCAACCCAAAGAGATTAGTCGCTAAGGAAATCTCAGTTTGGATACAAAAGTCCTACTTGATGTTTACCAACTTATGTCAGACATACAGGCAAAGTCGACACAAATTACGTCATCTCTGGGACTATCAAGATATACCGCTACCTGTTAAAGAGTATACTGCATTACAGTTCGCTCTGTCCTATCATACTGCTGTGAGACATGATCATTGAAAGTGGAAGAAATGAAGACCTTACAGGTCTTTGATCATAGACGTCTTCTTAAAACTGCTCACTTAATAACGTGGTATCAGTCCATGAAGTCTTTTGATTGTTGGTTTGAACTGTTTAAAGAGGTACAAACTGCTTGGTTAGGGTCCTCAAGATAATACGGACCAATGGTTGGAGAACCTTGGTGACAGCTGAAAATGTTTGCAAAGCTTAAGGTATCAGGGGGATGAGTTGATAACAATACTGATTTTTAGTATAAAGTTTTCTCTTAACCTTGAGATGTGTAAAAATAAAATGAGTTCTTTTTAGAGGTAGTATTTGTCATGGACTGACATCAGTTGGGAACCATTGGGAATTTGGGAGCACTGGGCAGCTGTTTCGTCCCAGTATGGGACTACTCTTCAGCAGTATGCACCCATGACCCGACTGAGGACCGAACTCAGGACCTACAGGTTTCAAGGCGAACGCCTTGAGCATTCAGCCACTGGTTCACAATTTCCAACTTTTGTCAATTCATGACATAGTGTGACTATCACCGAAGGTCTTCAGTTGCCATCCTCTTCCCTTCCGACTGGTTGATCCCACAGGTAACGGCTCCTCATTAGAGCTTCATGGTATCCTTCCGGAAGGATACAGTAATGTATTTTTGAGATGAATGGGGATTTTTGACACTATTTTTATTCGAACGGTAAGCATTACTAACCATCTGAGAATAGAACAATAGTCGAGGGTACGGATTGAAACTTGTTATAGCCCCACGTGTTGAGGGAAGATGGTGATAAAATGTAGTTGTTGCTTAGTGGCGTAAACTTCACACGTACCACTTGTTAGATAATGCTTTAGGACTGTGGTGTGCACTTCTATACAACGTTCTGCTTGAGCTTATCTCTATTTGTTTGTTGAGATTATCAACTGGTTATATTTAAATTTCTGGGTAAAATTTTCGTTTTGCTTGGAATTCAAGAGAGAAAAGCAGTTTGTATCTAAGAGAAGAGTATTTTGTCTGTAGTTGGTTTCTGCATTTCAGACAGCTTCAAAAGACTGCAGAGAACAGATTGAAGTGGAGACGTGCGACTGAAGCCCTATTTTCCACTAGGAATCCAAGGGGGGGGGTAATCAAGGATTTTGTTTGTTTACAACCATTTGTTCTTCGTGAGTCGTTTTGAATGACGAATTTTTCGTTTTGAATGAGATTTCCGAGGAGTCACATACTAGGATGAGACAGCTGTCTTCTAGGCAGTGTGTCTAATAATAGGCATGAAATGGACAGGTTATCATGTTACGCCATTTATGCCATATGATATTTGAGACTTATATTTGCAGTTCACAAGCAGCTGTAGTTGTAATTCTCATAGATGTTGCATACGTCTTAGATACGACGTTACTACTGTTGTGAATAGGTGGAGAAGATCCGTAGATTAGATTTTGACCAGGTTGATATTGTATTTCGTAGAGGCTAGTAGGAATAATGTTTTTCCTTCCAAATTTTGGTATATGGAATTGAATTAGGAAGATGACTTTTTATTAGTAGTGGGTCACGAGTTCAAGCACCTCTTCGCCTACTGAAGTTTGGATAGCCACATAGTTGGGAGGTATTATTAACCGTCACATACTGGCTGTGGCTCATTACTGAGTGGATTTCTACTTAAAATCATACAGAATTCTATCGATGGTTACGAAGTTCTAATCTTGGTGGGAACAACATCACTCCGAACTGGAGTGCAGGTACATCCAGCTGACGAGTGAGTCCCAAATAGGATGGTATGCGCATCCTGGACTCCTCTGGTAGCCACAACCAAGTAAATTACCATAAATAACATTCAAGTAATATCGAGGTATCTGCATAGGAGCCCATATGTCAATAGAGGTGGAATAATTCGATCCAATGAAACAATGGAGAACTACAAGTATATCCATAAATAATAATATGTAATACCCGTTGTACAAGAGGTGGCTATCGTTCTTCCTTGGTGTTTGAAGTGACGGGTACGAGGTTTGAGTCACAGAGGGAACAACACTCTTAATTGGGGTACAGGTACACCCAACTGATGAATCTCAAATGGGACGAAATGCGCATCCTGGATTCTTTTGCTAGCCACAACCAAGTAAAAATATTTAATTGGTTGAGAGTTGTTTGCCTATACTAATAGTCGACAGAGTTATCATTCATGAAGCGATTTCTTTCGAATTTTATCGTCACTCAAATTTTGTTTCGTTAGTTTAACGTCCTACCAGGACTATGCACCATGATACTGATAAGGATGGTTCATTTAATTATGATAAGAAATTCAGAAAAAACTTCTATTTTCAATCTAACCGTAATAACACTTTTTTTAAAACACATCAAAATTGCAGTCGTAGTTACCTTGATGATCTTAAGTTTTATTTTTGTTTATATTTTTAACCTTTAGCGTAGATTTTGAAGAGTAAGTGAGTCTTTTTTTGTATAGTATGTGAAAATTCTACATCAGTTTACTCTTCAATACTTGAGTGTAGTGATACCTAACCTGATTTTGAAACAGTTAAGCGAATTACTCAATCTGAAAGGGGTGGAAATAAATCGTCCTGACTACTGCCATTTTATCATCATGTACAATGGTAGGATTTCCCTTCCCTTTCCAACTAATCTTACATATTACTATTATTTAGGGGCCGCCATTTAGAAGTTTAATGTGTAACAGAGAGAAATGTTGTGTATTTTGTTGTCAATTTTCTAGTCTTAAAACTTGCTTTTTGCTGTTTACAGTTTGCTTTGCCAGTTCACCTCGTGGTAACACTGTTATTACACATCACCCAGCTAGCCCTTTTGCACGTGTTCCTCGTGGTCCAATTCTGAAGAATGAAATAAATTCAAAAGTACCAATGCAGTCAGTACAATCATCAGCATTCAAGGCCAGTATCACTTCAACACCTGTCACAGCAACTGCCACCACCACCACCACCATCGTTGCTATTAATACTACCAGTTACTCTGACAATGTCTCTTCTGCTAACACCTCCATGGTTGGTTTATCGCCTGTTCAGACTGAATTTTCGCTGAATTCTTCTGACTCTTCGTCAAAACAACCTTTTCACATAAATGGAAGTCGAGAAACGAGTAAGTTGGGTCGTTTTTTTTACCAAGCCAAAGTTATGTTGAGATGTGTATATTTCCAAATTTAAAAAGATAAAATGGTCAGTGGGGATTGTTTCTTTCCAACCAGTATAAAGGAAAATTTACCTTCGAAACGCCATTTGAAAGTCCTATCTACAGTCATCACTCCGTCATCTAAAACATGCTCTCTCAGATATTTCTCAAAATATTTCGTTGTAAACAGTTTGAAGACATTGCTGTGTTTTTTGTACCAACTTTTTGTGATGCTATAACTCATTGGTTTAGGGCTACGGGTTCGAACAGCGCTTTACCTACAGTGTTTCATGCATCCAGGTAGCTTCATTAGCCCTCACACAATAGGTGTAGCTCATTACTTATTGAAAGGTTGTTGAGTACCTTTTCTTATTGTAAATACAAATACGCATAACATTTCATTTTAGGAGGCCTATTAATTGGGCTACATAGAGAGCTCTATATGTTTAGTCATTTGTACTTTATTCGAAAGTAACTTGTGTTTGTGTATCATGGTAGCAAATCGCTTAGAATTTTCTTTCTTTAGATTACCTACCAATATATTACAATTCTTCTTTATCCTTGTTTATTTTAGCACTAATTGACTGAAAGTCGGGAGCCAAAACCACCTTAAGTTGTAAAATCTGTCTTCTTTCAAAGCTATGCACATCGCTTACCCTCTATCTATATTTAGCCTGCATTTTCAAGCATTAGTTCTCATTGATAGTATAAAACAGCTGTGTTACAATCATAAAATCTTAGTTGACACATATTCGTGTAATTTGTAGGCTAACATTGATTCACTCCATCTGTCATGTGTAAATATGTTGTAGAAGCGAAGACTGAACACACACAAAACTAGAGGCTAAAAGTCATTCAAACAGCATATGACTCTATACCTATTCACTAATTCAGACAACATTTAAATTGTGTTCGCCTGTTCGACAGTACAAAAAAAGATTCATGGTTGGTAAAACAGTCATACCGGTGCTAATATTTTTTGAAGTTGTGAAGGTCATTTCAGGGATGCAGGATGTATTTTACACTAACATATTTTCTCTCCTTTTACCAGTTTGTTGCTGTTTTATTATTTCTGGTAGGGGAGGGGAGGGGGGGGCAATTTTGCAGCACAGTGTGAAGTAGAATACTTATTCCCAGATGATTCATTGCTATTTTCTTGTCCACACATTTTTAGTTTCTGCAATTATTCCTTCTCCTAGTATTTTATAGAAGAATACTGATTGGTATGTGAAACAGTATTTTTTTTGAAAAATAATCGACGACCTTGTTGTTTAGTGATCCTCATACTACTTACTGAGTCAAATGGCTTATTGACGATTGTTGAGCATTTCATTCTACTTGGATTTCGTCAATCTTGTGTGCCAACACTTTCCACTATTAATGTGGTGAAATAATTTTTTCCTTTGTACAAAATTCATCAATTATTACTTTGTATTTTGTCGTTACATTGTTTGTCTACAAGATCTACTTTATTGGGATTTAATTGTTGATTGACGTCTGTGTATTGACATCATTTAATTGTGTATTTGGTTAATATTTCACCATATTTTTCCATAGGAAATAAATGTATTGTAGGTTGAATTAGACTTTAGTGACACCCAATCACGTTCAAGTATGCACTGACCAATCAAAATCAACAGTGTGAAGGGCAACGTAATTGTTAGGGGGAAATGTTATTTTGTTGATGACTTATAAATTTGTTTTACACGAGAAATAAAGATACCTAGGTTTTCAATAGTTTATGATCTTTGAAAGCATACCATTGTCTGTTTTGCCACTCATTTATATGGGAACATATCGAATTGTTTGACCTCGATCCAGTAAAACAACGGAAAACTACAACCATATCCATAAATAGTAATAATTAATACATGTTGTACAAGAGGTGGCTATCGTGGTTCCGTGGCCTAGTGGATAACGCCTTGGCGATTGAAGTGATAGATACTGGGTTTGCGTTCAGTGGGAACACCATCACTCCGCACTGGGGTGCAGGTACGTCCAGTTGACGAGTCCCAAATATGACGAAACGCGCATCCTAGATTCTTCAGCTAGCCACAACCAAGTAAATTACCATATATTTTGTTGTTGTTGCAGTATATCATGCTGAGAATTCCAAACTGTACCACAAATTACGTTAATGATGTATCGTGGCTGGCAGTGGAATCCAGATGCGCATTTCGTCCTATTTAGGACCGTCAGCTGGATGTACCTGCTTCCCAGTGAGTGATGTTGTTCCCACCGGGATTCGGACTTGGAAACGATCGCTTCAAACACCAGCGCGTTATCCACTACACCACCGACCCACGATAGTCACTTCTTGTGCGACTCGTCAGTCCCAAATAGGATGAAATGCGCATCCTGGATTCCACTGCTAGCAACGATCCATCATAACCATAATTAGAAGGTAGGCAATATCGAGGCATCCGCACAGGAACCCATATACCAATAGAGACCGATCAATTTGGTCCAATCAACGATGGTATCATATAAAAACAATTATACTATGCACCACAAATTGCCTGGAATAAAGTAAATATCATTATTGTTAATATTATTATCCTCAAGTATGTTTTTAAAACAAACATGATGACATGCACTTTTGTAAATACCTTGTTCATGACAAGCTTGAAAATCAAAAAGATAAATTGATGAATTGGATATGCACATATTGTGACGAATAGGGAATATAGTAAAAATTGGTTGATAGACTTAGTGATTGGATTATGAGTTATCAGGTGTCTAAATAACATGTTATGACTTTTTTCTCTCAACTTTTTTCTCTATCCTCTCAGATGTTTTGTGTAATGAGTCTAACCAGCTAAGACATGGAGAAGATAAAATCAAATCGGTTAGTACTCAAAGTCCTGTAAATAACCGAAATAATCCAATGGGATCAGGACGTACACGTTCCAGTGTATGCAGTTCTTATCCAACTTATGAAGAAGCTTGGGATTTAAAATTAGCTCGTCAATTGGGGATTGGTGTATCACGTTTACCGTCTATTATTCCAATTTCGTCAACTATTCCAAATTATGTTCCATCTCTTCCTTCTATTCCATCTGATGTTACAGTTGTAGATAGATCATCTGTTATTTTAGGCCAAGATAATCAGCGAAATGTAATATCTCCTCAATCTTTATCACTTTATAATAGAGAACAGTTGAATGAAAGAAAATCTATCCTCCTTTCTAATGATTCACATTCAATAGAATCTAATTTAAAATTACTAAATGTTACATCTTCAGATGATAAGTTAACAAAATTGACTAACAATAATTCAGAAGTATTAATTAATGATGACGTAAATGATGATGGTGATAAAAATCTTGTTTGTAATTCCAAAGAAATAACTACCGGTCAATTGAATCGAAAATCAGCTAATGGTGGTGGTGGTAGTGGTATCAATCGATTATTTTATCATAATGAACATTCACATTTGAGTTCACATTCTAGTCATATGGTATGTTGAATCCATATTATGGTAATTTCACTATTAATTAATTAGTTGATTAACTATTCGTACTTATTGTTTTATTAATTACATTTAGTTTTTTTGGTCATTGATCTAAGCAAATGAATTTTAACTGTGGTGGATCATAATTTCGCAACCTGGGTCATGTATTGAGATTTAGGCAGACAGGTTAGTGTATCATACAAGCCTTCATATAAGTAGATGTGACTAGTGGACAAATTCTAACATGGTTATATTGATCTTGGTGACTAGCAGAGAAATCCAGGATGTGCATTTCGTCCTATTTGGGACTCGTTAGCTGGATGTATCTGGCTTACTGGATAACTCTCAGGTGTTTGAAGCAAAGGGTGCTGGGTTCCCTCCACAGTAAAAACAACATTACTCACTGGGTTGCAGGTATATCCAGCTGACGAGTCCCAAATAGGACGAAACGCACATCCTGGATTCTTCTGCTAATCACCAAAATCAATATAACATCATGAATGCTCGGCAGTATCAAGGCATCCGGACAGGAGCTCATCTGCGAACAGAGGTCGAGCAATTCAGTCTTATATGGCAACAGCAAATCACAAGTTTCATTACAACTTAATAGGATTGTTGTGTTGTACTTCATTTTGTTCCACTTTGAAATCCAGTTTATCGAAATCTGTCTAGTTTTGCTTCAAAATATTGGATTAATGATACTAGATATATGAAAACCGTTATGCAACAGAGTGGTTGTTGTTGTTATCTTCTATTTCGATGTACATTAGCCACACATCTTTTATCTAAGAAATGGGATAAGTCTGGATATGAGGCACAGCTTTCAGAAGTAGATGATATTATACTTTTGGAGTATCCCTTGTATTCATGAAATTTTAGTAAAGCAAAGCACGTTACCATTGAGCCACTGGGTCAGAATCCAATGGTCCATATTTCTTACTTCTTTCAGTTCACAATATTGGGCGCACAGCTGTCCAGTGCTCTCATGTTTCCAATGTTCCTCCAACTGATGTCAGTCCATGATGAATTCCAACCTGAAATCATTTAATAAACCTCCAGATGGAATTAAAGCAAAGCAGTTCAATCAATGAAGTTTTAAACCTTACCTTGCCAAACTTCCTCGATGTAGAATGTTGAACAAAGTAGAAATCAGTCAGTCAATGTGAATTTACGGGTTATTATTGTATAGTGGTCCAAGTTGCTGTCTCACATCAGCACATCAGGATATGAAACAGCAATATGAAACGAACATATAGGGGAAAAGAATTTGTCTGAAAGTCAGGAGAGAGTAATTTGGGGGAGGGGGTGAAAAATTACTGAAACTCAGTGTAACGATAAGGATGAGTGAGACATGTGGGTGTATTTGCACCATTCAGATAGGTCACGAGCCACATCACCTACAGTCTCCGACTATCGGTTTCGCTTGGCTGGGAAGTCTACATTTGCTTACATGGCTCAGACCACCAGTCACAGACCTCATGGACTGATGCCATTTTTTTTGGCCACCTCTAACCTTTTCCTAGAATAAGCTCACTTCGATTGACGTTACGTGATGGGAGAAACGGTGGCCGGACGTACACAAATTGTCCTAACCATCTGAGTCCACTGATACTCCTCTTTCACCTAAACCTCTTAACCTGACCTGGTATCACGATACACGGCTTCTGCTATGAAGGCAACGGTGATCTGGCACTCGAAACCTTATCATGTTCTCCACCTTTAATGGCCATTTTCCACAGCCATGTAGTAGAACAAAGCGAACTGAAGCGTAGTACACTTAACTTTTTATAGTCTATGGGATATTGTGGCGGTGCTATAAATGACTTACCTTGGCAAAAATCAAGCTGGCCTCTTGTTTTCGTGCTGGGACATTCCTCAGTCACTGACCCATCAGGGCTTATTCAGTATCTCAAGCGAATCAAGTGGTTAGCGGGTTCCACTATCTCACTCTCCATTGTTAGACGTGGAATCAACACAGACCAGTTCTAGAGCAAAAATTTGCATTTGAGAAATGTATCCCATTCTGAAATCGCTACCCAAAGTGTCCAGAAGACTCTGAGTCTTATTAGCCTCTTCATCTATCAGGATTATATTATCTGCAAATCTTAGATCTACGACGACGTCAGTTGCGCTAAAGTCAGACGAGGAGAGGAAGACCTCCCAAAGTCTGTCCATGAAAGCTAAATGAAGTAAGGAGATTAAATACCAATTAAAGAACACTACTGGATGTACATACCTCATCTGATTCGTCACTATCAGCTACAGCACAGAAGTGGATGTTTGTATACAGAACCTTAAAAAGAGTGTTGTGTGCAGCACCTGTTTCAGTGAGAAATATCACCATAGAGTCTCTCGAATGATAGGGTGGAAGACCACCTTCAGTTGAAGAATGTATAGCTTAGTGTCGGGCAACGATAATTCTGATAGTATTACAAGACGAAACAAAGAATGGAGACCTAGTTGAGATATTGACAGTCAGATCTGAAACCTGTCTCAGTTCATCGGGTTTGCTATTCCAGAGCTTTATTTAGGTGTCTAGTGATGGTAGGAATCAGGATCTTAGACACGATGTTCATCACACTGACTATGTTATCGGCAATCAGCGATTGCGACCGATGGGGTTGGATTATATCTGATTCTCAGACATTAGCTACATATTGAGGTTAATCCAACAAACAATCCTCGATCACTGTCTTTAAGCTCATCAGGAGCATGCATAGCAGGGCCTGCTGCTGTTCACTGTTTCGGGTGACTTTCAAACTTTCTCAGCTTCTGAAAGAGCGTGGAACTTTATCCTGATGTTCCATTCAGGATGTGACTGGATAGTGGGCTATCGAGAATTAACTGGATACTAGTTGAACTGTTCCTCAAAATGTTCCGTCTGTTGTTCCAGTTGTGTATCCCCTGGGAGGGGGTCGGAGATCAAACCGAACGCACTATGATCTCACTAATCACTGACTTTTTTGTCCCCTCTCTTTGGTAGGTCGAATGACCGTCCACTGTTACCTGTCCTCTCTACCTTCATCTCTATAACCTTCACTGTACACCACTGCTCATGATCATTGTGTAGACTTCTAGTTAGTCTATATATGGGTTGCTTCCACTCCTTACTGCATTCTAAGCCTTTAAGAATGCGTTTTTATGGATATATGGATTCAGAAGAAGCTGCTGATATCCACTGGTCTTTTCCAATTATTTTTCGAATGCTAGTTACTGTCTTTGACACTTTTGTTAACACTTGACTGGTGGTAGTGCCACATTTCTTTAGAACGATTGATGTTGCCGTATTCCGATAAATGTCTAACCCGTTCCTTTTTGAAAACAGACTGAATATTCTCATCGTCCAGCTGCCCTCGGAATAGTCTTGTTGCTGTAGTTCATTTAGGCGCATAAATAGACACGCTTAAACCAATTCATAATCCCTGTCCAACACATGTGCTCAAGAAGTAGCACTATCTTTCACATCCACTCTAGTGATAACTGATCTCAATGTGGTCACTGTTGAGTTAAAGTCGATGAACGCCTAGTACGACAATGTCTTTTGGGATCTGATGTTTGTACTGATGACTAATACCAGTAGTGTTGCTGCTCCTACTGAAAAACTGCTTTTTCTACTGAAGTCTGGAATGACTTGATTTTTCTAAAAATCAATGTGACGTGTTGTTCTTAGTTTTTGCCTCATAAGTGCACTTCCGCTAGAGATCGATGATTTGGTACAGGATCGTTTTTGAGTATTGCAATATATGGATAGGTGTCTTTAGAGGCTGTGAGTGGAGATTTCTTGTTATTTGACCGTTTGAATATGTTAATGAAACTTTCCGCTTGTGAATGATACACTGGTTAGCATATTTGAGTGATAGGGTGTCGTCAGCAAACATTTTGAAGTTCATAAGATGTAAATTGGGTTCCATCAACCTATGATAACGGTTTCAGTCAGTTTTTGATGCGTGAGAATATGCCATAAAAACACCCTAGCATCATGGAAGTTGGTGCAGCAGCGATGAATATGGTTATAAGTGTGAGAATAATACACCATATTGAGTTTTTCAGACCAGAAAAATTCACTTCACAAGTGTTTGGAGGCTCAGTGACTGGTTCTCGTGAGCTCGCTGATGCAGGAGTAGCACTCACTTCTCAAGTAGAAAGGGCACTTTTCGACTGGATGCCAGTCAATTGCCGTCTATGTGAAGTTCGAATGAACGGATATGTAAGAGCTGGGAAAGATCATGGGAATTCCCGATGTCTATTCGTGATCTCTGCATACTCCCCGATTGACTACAGTTCGGATGATGCAAAGGATGAATTCTATCAAAAGCTATCAATTTCGCTACATAAAGCTTATTGTCCTGAGATAGTCACAGAGGCGGATGGTTTGAATGCTCACCTTCAGGAGTCAGGGTTTGGCGGGGGGTTCAGGTGTTCTTTGACATGAGTTGAAGCTAACATCGTAATGTACCACAATTTTGCACTATTGGCAATTATGTTGTTTAAATAAGCATACATTGAAGTTGTTCCAGGCGCTACAGAGCCAACAAATTGAAGACTTCTTGACATTCGACGTACAAAGCATGGAGGGTGAGTAAGACCAATCGCATAACAGCCCAAATTTGGGAGGTTCAGAGTTCGACAATAATCAATATCTGGTTGGCTGAGAAAACTCATAGACATCAGAATTATTTTAGACCATCAGATCGCATCAGAGTGGCGTTATACCTCGGATTTGATGAACTTTGGTATTCGTTCGTTGTTTTAATTGGGAGTCAACTAAGGATCTTTATCTAGTGAACTTAGCAAATATGGGGACTTTTCGACCGCTGAATACTGCTGATAAGTATAAGAGATTTAAATTAGTACTTTATTGGTGTCTGTTGTTAAAATCATCTACATTATTGGTCGGCCACTTCAAGAGAAGGGATCATCATCGCTTACTGTTAGCTGAATGCATCGTAAGTGTATATTGGACAGAGATGGATGTTCTCCGAAATGTTAACTCAAAGATTTTGATTGTAACACTGAATGTACTCCCATACGAGCTCTGGTATAACATAAGATTGTAGTACGTTTTCAGTTTTGATGAACCTAGTTTCTGGAGGACAAGTTAAACTTTCCATCCATCATTCTGATTGGTAGAATGGGTTTTGAAGAGATTCTCAAAATATTTATACTAAGTTTTGAGGTACTATTCATCACGGGCTGACATCAATTGAGGAACCATTAGAAACCTGGGAGCATTGGATGGCTGTTTCGTCCTGGTATGGGACTCCTTAGCGGTACGCACCTACGGCCCTACCACAGATCAAACTCAGGACATTCTGGTTTCAAGGCGAATGCGTAAACCATTCAGCCAACTGGTCGGAGTTCAATGGTTCATAGTTTCCAACTTCAGTCAATATACGATATAGCGCGAATCTCACCCAAGGTCTTCGTTTAGGATCTGTTCTTCCGACTGATTGACCCATAGGTCACTCAGTGATGAATACCATCTCAAAATTAAAACCCCCATTCATCTCAAAAATACATTGCTGTATAGTGCTCATTAGTGTCATGCTTCCGGATGGATATCACGAAGTTTTGATAAGAAGCCATGACCTGTGCGGCCAACAAGCCTTAAGGGAAGCGGATGCCAACTGAAGACCTTGGGTGATAGTCGCGCTATATCGTTAATTGACTGAGTTGGAAACTATGAACCATTGAACTCCGACCAGTTGACTGAATGGTTTACGCATTCGCCTTGAAACCAGAATGTCCTGAGTTTGATCTGTGGTGGGGTCGTGGGTACGTGTTGCTGAGAAGTCCGATACTAAAATGAAACAGCTGTCCACTGCTACCAAGTTTACAGTTGTTCCTCAACTGATCACGGTCCGTGATGAACACTACCTCTAAATCTCTACTAAATGTTGTAAGTGAGATTGTTTTCTGGATCATGCATGAAATTTATGGTAAGGTTGATCAAGGCACCTATAGGAGTTAAGTAGTGAGCTTTAATTGTTCCAGTAATTGTTCTGCCTGATTCATTTGAAAAATCAGTCCTGGTAATAATTAGCGTCTTAGAGTCTGAGGTTGGTACGAGTCAACTCAAATGATTCGCAGAGTGAACTGAGAATTGTAAATGCTGACTATATCTACAAAAGTACCGTGATTCTTGAAAGACAAGAGCTAGCTAGCACATTAAAAGTGGTAGAATCCAATCAGGAGATTAATGGTTTTTTTATATAGCAAATATAGCTCATTTGTCTGGAGCAGGGTGTGAACCGATAAAAACTGAAGAAGTGCGATGTACGGTCATTAAATTTTGCACTATAGATGATTTGAACATTGCTGATGAAAAACCAAAGAATCCACTTGCTGCGCTTGGTAATGTAGTGTTTCTGCGTAGAATCTCTACAGTTCCTCTGTTATTTTTGATTTGTGTAATGGTTCTTTAGTGAGAGGACTATTATTAACCTAGGATATTCTACAGTCTTTCCTTTTGTTTGTTTATCATTCCAATTTGACATGAGACGAAAAAGTCTTTGATGTGACCATTCATCGTGAACACTTAAGGTAGGTAATTCTATTTTTATTACCACAGCGCTTACATGCTATGTAGGTTTTACATTTGAATATAGTTTCCTTCTATGACCAGTAGTATGACCTAATAGCCTAGGAGTCCGGAAAATTGCGAACGATGCGGATATAACGCGCAACGAATCGACTTTAACGCAAATCAGAACGTCAACCACCACCACCACCACAAGAATAATACCACTGACGCGTGAAGATAAGAAGAGAGGACAGACCATTGATAGAGAGATTTCTACTGTCTCAACAGCAGTCAGTACAGTTGACAGCGATGCTGAACATATACATTTCTAAACGACCGTGACAACACTAAATCCACATAGGTAAAAATAGTTAACAGCTAATGAGAGCTCAGCCGTGTGAGCAGAGGGAAGAAAAATTAGTAACTGTGTGAAAACAGCCATGTAGGTCATTTTAAGATCAGCAGGCCAAAGATATGCAAAATTAGGGGTATATAACATTTCCGAACTGGAGATTTGTTACAGATTGAAATTTGTCCGCTGTTTTACTTTGCTGTGCAGTTGAATCATTAAAGTCTTGTTCAGGTTTCTTGTGATAAGCACTCCTCCGAACGGGATTGGATCGTTTTCTTCTTTTCTGCATTGAAGTCTGTCACTGGGACAATTATCATTTGTGGGTCACTCTAAAGACCTTTTTAACAACTGTTGAAATAGCCATTTAGGTTTTGCTGTTTTATGAACAACTGCCTTCCTAGTCAAAATCCCGAACCCTGATTGGTTGTTTCAGCAGTTGCTTAAGGGGTCATTAAAAACACAATTAATGTGAATAATTTTTGAAAAGACTACTATTCTCATTAGGATAGCCTTATCAAAGTGATCATTTATATTTGTCTGTCTCATTTCAGTCTGTGGTTTATATCTACGAACTGTAGTGCATAAATTGTTTTAAGTGAGACTTTTTTATTATCCCAAAAACACATTTTCGTTAAGTTAATTTTTACTGTTATCGATCGAAGGCATCTCTGATTTCTGTGTGTTTACAGCTTCTCTATGTGTATTAGTTACTGACATTTTAGTACTATATGACTATTATCAATATTACTATTTTTTCATATTATGTTGTTGCAACAGGTATACTGTTGTCTTGATGTTTCTATCGCCTATCCATTAGTTTTTTCTAAACTTGATACTAATTTGTGTTAGTATTTCGGCGGTGGTAGCTTGTTCTAAGTGCTGTGTTTGAATGTCGATGGCGATTGTCTATTAATGATGTGCAAACGCATTTATTAAACGTATTCCACAAAGAACCTAACTTTACCTGTGAATTCAGACCTTAGTGACTAAAAAAATATATATAAATAAATGATAATTTCATACAACAGTTGCATAGAATAAAATAATCTGATGCAATGTAACTGATAACAGGATGCCTAACAAAGCTGTTGTTATAGATATCAAAGAATTGATTGACCTGAACTATTTGTGATACTGGGCAGATTTCTGAATCTCTCTGTTAATGACAGCTTCATACAGCATAACGATGCACAATCATAGAGACAAATAAATTCAGTCCAATAACATGAAAGTTATACCCGTTTCACAGGAAGTGGTTATCGTGACTTGATGGCCTTGTGGATAACTCTCTGGCGTTCGAAGCAGTCGGTCCAGGGTTCGAAGCCTCATGGGAATAACATCGCTCACTGGGAAGCAGGTGCATCCAGCTAACGAGTCCCAAAGAGAACAGGACACTCATCTTGGATTCCACTGCTAGCCACTATCTATCATTACTATAAAAATGCGTCCGAATGATAAATACGTTAGTTTGAATAATAGTGGCTTTCCCCTTTTTATTCTCCTTATGTTTATCATCAGTACATTGTTATTGTTCCCACCAGTTTGTGCTGTTATTACTCTTTTGTATGTATATTTGTGTGTTATATGATTCAGGCAAATGGGAAAACAGATTTGACAGAGAACAATGGGGAATACGATTATGCTTACAATGGTTCATGGAGTATGGGCGTTAAGGTAAGTCTTCGAAAAAAGAAGCAAAACAATAACAGAATTTCTTTTATTCCTAAATGTTTGTTGTGAAAATCTTTCAACGATTGGCATGGCACACACACACACACACACACATCATGGCCTCGTTGTTTCAGAGGTATAGACAAAGAGACAGAGAAATTCAACGTACAACCTCACACACAAGTGCATCGGTTCAAGTAATCACAGTTCAAACCGTATCATACAAAGAGAAAGTGGGTAGAAAATGACATATCAGTGTAGAAAAAGCTAGATAAAGGAATAAACCATTAGGAGATGAAGGTTAATGTAAATATTTAGGGTTTAAACGACGTCAAAGAGTGAATAAATCTGCGCCATCGTCACCGATTTTCAGCCATGTCACCGAGTGTCCTCAACCATTGACTTCTGTCGTCTAGGAGACCCCAGCTAGCCAGACTTTATGTCGCCATACGGCTCAGACCGACTGTTAGAGACTTCGCCGATTGGTGCCACGTCTTGTTGTGGCCACCATTAACCCTCTTCCAACATAATTCAGTTTGCATTTCGATATAGTTGGTGACTCGGCATGCACAGTACGCGTTCAAGTCATATAAGTCGACTAAGGTTCACAACCTTATCAATCATTTCCCTGTTTTGCCTAGGATCCTTCACCTGATCTCAAAATTGCTCACTCGATGATTTTAGAGGTATGCGTATGCGAAAGTTATAACTAGAAATTCAATCTTCTATTGGTTATAACTATCTAATTTTTAACTGAGTGAAGTTGGCACACTGTTTTGTAGAGAATCTCTCCGCCCCTCCCTCTTCAAATAAAATCCAAGCTTCACTTCAATGGCATTGTATGGTCTACAACAGTAGTTGTACATTTTATAATGGCATTGTTTTCTTGTGTTTACTGCTTTGTTTATATCACTACAGCTCAGTTGTAGCCTACATTCTGCTTTATACTCTATACTTTTTGTTATTTTTTTACAAACGAATTTTTTTCGTTGTTATGTTGCCTTGCTAATGATTTTTTTCAAGGTATTTGAATTGGTGTTTTTGTATATGTTGCCTTAATGATCAGGTTATTCTGCTTTAGAAGGCTTCAGGTGTTTGACTACCGTTGCCTTCGTAGTATAGGCCGTATTGCGTGGTGTCACCACATGAGTAACGCAGAAGTCAGGTGTAGAGTTTTAGGGAGGAGGGGTAAGTTAGTTGACACGGTTGTGAACCTTCATCGACTGAGATGGTTGGACACGTATTACGTATGCCCAGTCGCCGTCTGCCTCATCACACAATGTTGGCTGAAGTAGGTTCAAGCTGGAAAAAGGCTGGAGGGTGGTCAGACTAAAACATGGCATCAATATATGAAGTGTTTGACTGTTGTTTTGAGCCATGTGGGGCGATGTAGACTAGCGGGCTGGGGTTCGGGGACAAGAGAAACCAGTGGTTGGAAACTGACTCTAGTCGATAAGGCCCAGAGCCGATGTCAGTGTCGCAGATGTATACACACATTATCCTCATCTTAACGACGCTATACCGAATCTCACCATTTTCTCATTCCTTCCTTTTTCTTTTAGTAATTTGTATTTCTTTTGACTGAATTTTCTTTTCTTCATCTTCCACTTCACTGCCTTTATACTTGATGTACTGATATGAAGTGTGGCAATTCGGACCGTTACGTAGTAATGCCTGGTCCTATGTTGATTTGGATGGATGGATTATTCTGTTTGAAATTTGAACTGAATGATATAATGAACTGTGCAGTTCTCCACGCTGCATACAATCAACTGATTATTCACAACAAGTACTGATTTAGATCAATTTGCAAGTGACTTACGAACTGCATGGTTCACATTGACATTTCTCAACTGCCCAACTGTGGTGTCAACAAGGTTTCTATTGGAAACCACCCCGCAGCTGAGATCACAGTATGTATCCTTTCTTACTCAAACGTGTCATCAACTGGCCTAATATACGACTACTGACCAACCTGGATAGTTTAAAACCACTCAGGCTATCCTGTAGATCTCATCCCGCAAATCAGTTATGTAAACGCTGTAGGGCTGTTTCACTCTTCATCAACGATGTACCCGGACAGATTCAACTTATAGAGCCAAATTAGTTCATATCGCCTGAACCTGGCTAGCTGACTTGCATGAAACGATATACTAGTCACTCTAATGTCCCATGGGTAATAGAGATTTATATCCGTATGGATCATGTCAGGTAACATAGTTTCTCAATGATTAAGATACGAAGAAAGTTGCAACTGGTTCACACTATAATTTCGTATACGCATGTTTTCATGATACATCACTTACCCAAATTATAGGTGATTAAAGCGAAGTAGAGATGTGGTTAATAATTGAATCTCTTAGCGTAGTCAGTAGAACACTGATCGTGACATCGATCGTTTCAGCTATGATGAGAACCAACTTGTCCTCGTACTACAATTATCTTATCGATAGTTTTACTAAATCTCACTGGTGTTTTTGGTATATGTTGTTATCTGTAGAGTTGATAGACCAAACCATATAGTGCTTAACCGTTATATATATAGAATACAATACTATTGTTGAGACGGGAAAATCCGATCAATTAATTTAACCAGAACGATCCACCTTTTTGTGGGTCTGTATTTAGACGACCTAGAAAATAATAGAAACCTGTCATAACATAGGATTCTCCAGACTGATCTATTGCTATTTTCTGTGTCCTGTTTTAGGATTTTCTTTCAGCTGAAATTATTAGTGAGTTAGTAACAGCATAGCAATATAACAACTGTAAAGTGCAGTGCTGCAAAAGCTCGGATGTTAGACTCTCTGAAGTACGTCGAACTTGCACGAGCTAGGATGATATACTGTCCTACGGCATAAAATAATTTAGGTAGGATTCGGGTTCGAATCCATGACACACAGTAGTTACAAGTTGAGTGATTGGAATGTCTCTTATTCCTTAAATAGCGTGAACAATATGCACTGTATAAACCCGTTCAGTATTAAAAAGAAGACTTAACTATAGCCCTATGTACAACAATTATTATCAATAAGAAACAGAAACAAACTGAGAAATGCTGCCAGTAAACTTCAATTGACTACTTCGGTTGATATATGTTTTAAAGCATCGAATCTAGCACTTCATTCATCTTTTCGTACCTATTTGGATATCTATGTGAAGTGAGAGTTATTGAAAAGAATATATTTTCTTGTTCACTGAATTGCGTTTTAAGTTGGATATTTTACTGAAATAATAAATATGCATTGGTTGGGTTTCTGTATTCATTATGAAGTTTCATCAGCCGTCAATCTATAGGAATGGATGTAACTACTCTAAGAAATTTGTTTAAGAGGAATATCCATGTGAAAATGATGAGGTTGTCAGAATTTGTCACTCGGTATGACTAAAAGGCGTGTTGCGCCTATCTAGCCACCTCCGAATTCTTATTGTAATCGAATCCATTTGTAAGGAAACTGTAGATAGCCAGATTGAGATACAACACTCATGTCTAAAGTCATTGACTGTTGGTTTAAATTGTCTAATATAGTATAAGCTGCTTGAGATATCAGGAATCACTAGTCGAATAACTTAAGTGACATATTTGAAAGTCTATTATAATGATGCAATGGTATTCATTCTTTATAATCCCGAGAGTTTTGAACATTTTATCAACTTTCATTTGTTCATTTTATATTGTCTCATTTATCTTTTTGGTTACTTTAGCATCATTATAGTTTTGTTTGTTCTTTTTTTCAAAACTGTTTCGAATTCTGACAAAATGAATCGATTGACGTTTGTACGAAGTTCCACATTGTTTTATTAGTTTTTTTGATCTTTAAAAGTTTGACAGGGTTTTCAACGATCATTGTAATATTTTCTCGAAAAAAACAACAACAACTGAATGCATACAGCCAGTCATATGTATCTATTACTCAATGTGCCACTAGATTACTTAGATAGGCTAACACGATGTCATCACCTATTTTCACATTACGTTACACTTAGAAATAGTCGATGTCTGAATCGTATTGCAATTATGTAGGAGAATGTTTTGACTCTTAGTTGGCAAACGGTATCACCTAATTGCAAGACATTATGTAGGTTATTCTACTGGCAATCAATCAAGTTGATAGTTACTTAACGTTTGTACATATGCTGCCTACAGTGTTTTCCATCGTTGACTCAAGAAAAGCCTATTTCACACATAGGCATATGCATTTCACTAATCAAGGGGAATAATAATATGAGTATGATTGAAATGACTAATATTCCTATACTCTTAAAGCATCATATTTATAACAAAAAGACCAGTGGAGTCAACCAATTCGAATATGAAGACAGTTACTCAACGACGACATTGGATAGAGGTCGTGTTATATCGTGAACTGACAGAAGAAGGAAATATGGACCATTGGATTCCGACCTAGTGGTTCAATGATAATGCACTGGGCACGGAACCTGGATATCCTGGGTTCGATACCTGGCTTGGCGTGGCGGGGGTCATGGGTGCGCACTGCTGAGGAATCCCATACTAGGATGAAACAGCTGTCCAGTATTCCCAGGTATCCAATGTTCCTGTAACTGATGTCAGTCCACGATGAATAACAGTTTGAAATATGAAAACATTTGATAAGGTGAGTAAATGTGAATGAAAATCAAGGAGTAAAGAATTTGTAACAAAGTGAGTAGATAATTGTCAGTGTGAAGGGGAATGTGAAATTAATAAGTGAGCTAAACGAAAATCGTTCACGTAATAACAACATGAAAATTCAAAAATCAGCTGGACCTTATAAATGCAGAGTTTATGGATTAAGAAAGGAATAAGGAAGGGGAATAGTAAAGTCGCTTGTGGATACACAATTCCAGTTTCAACTGTTGTATTGTTAGAGCTTTAACAATGGACTTTATAGACTCGTACAAAGGAATCTCGTGAGACTGTGTTGTCCGTTGTTAACCAAATATTGCAATATGGAGCTGTTAATTGTTCTGTGTTTGTCTTTACTTAGGCATGCTGGAAGGTG